AATCAGAGCGAAGTGGCACAATATCACCTTATGGTAGCCTGTTATAAAATAAGGATGAATATTGTGATCCATCAGGCAACTGCTACAATGAAATGAAAGAGGTGTTACTATAGATCCTACAGATGTGAAAAAATAATAACAGAATATTATGAGCAACCCTATAGAAGTTGAACAATTATAAAGGGAATGAATAAAGATCTGTACATGTTACTGTATCTGAATTATACCTCAATGAAAAAACATAGAAAAGGATCTTTGGTTTGGCATCATCGTGATATCATTAACCATATCACCTTGTTCTTAGGTAAAAGTCCCAAAGGGGCTTTGATTTATACACATTATAAACAAGCGATTAGAGTTAGTTGGAGAATTTCATGACTCCAAAAGTAGCAGCAAAATGTCCTTAATAATCTATGTTCTGTTGTTCACTCCATGTTTTCTGTAGTCAGCAACTGGAGCCATAAGGCCATCTGGAAATGTTGTGAATGCAGCATTCGTAGTAATGAGTAGTAATGTGTGTTTTCGATATAAGTTGAGGCTCCAAAGCCAACAACTGCCGGACATTTGAGCAGAGACTGATTCCATAGGTGCTCTTTCATCAGGAAGCAGGAAGTCAACAATGCAGAGCTGCTGCTGGTTATTTTGTGGGGGTGGTGGAGGTTGTTTTTATAGACTGAAAATGTGGGAGAGATTACATAAGCCCAAGGAGGATGTTGCAGGAGGACCATCACTAGGATACTTGGGTGACAAGCTTGTGGAAGTGCTTCTTGAAATGCTTATGTGTGTTCATTTTTTAATGTTTTTACCCGCAAGTACTGTGAAAATATTACAACACAGCCAGAATCCCCAAAACTAATCTTCATGAAGGGTAGAAAAATTCCCAGGGCAACACAAAGTCCAGCAGATCCTGTGATGGATCCCCCTCCACCCCTTCCAAACCAGCGCAGTGCTGGGTGCGTGGTACAGGCTCATTAAATAGCTGTGGAAATGAAGGCATAAATGGAGGGAGCACATACTGCAATCATTCATTCAACAACAAATCACTTCCTCTATGCCCATCATTAAGTGTTGCAGGGACTGTAAAAGGAACACAAGTCACGTGGCCTGAAAACCCTTAACTTCTATGGAGGAACACTGGCAGACATGTGAAACCACCAAGGAAAACAGGAGACCCTGTACGGGCAGCCTCTCTTGTAGGATTCCCAGGCTCTCATTTCCCAGGAAGATAACGCATTTCATTTGGTAATAACCAAGTCTTTCAAGAGGTTCGTATCATCCCCTTTAAAAGATCTTTCTCCCAGTTTTCTTCCATTTCTAAAGGAACACAGAAAGAAAATAAGCCCCTATTAATAGTTCTATTGTCCCAGAATTAAAACACACCCACCATTCCCATGAAACCATTGGTCGTGTTTGCTGAGATGTTGTGGGTGCTTGGAGAAGCGGAAGGGAGTCGGGAGGTGGCACCGTGAGTCATTTGGTCTTTTGAGGAGTGAGGGTGGAAGATGCCTGGTTGTGATCTCTGCTTGGGGCTAGGGAGTTCATATCTTGCCAGACACAAAGCCTCTAGGATAAGGACCTTTTCCAAAACAGCCTGCGCTTGTACTGGTACCAAAAAAATAGATAGCTCAAGAAAATACTTGTAAAGAAATGGAAATAGATTTAAAGAAAACACCCCCATTCCCAGACTTATTTGGCAGGGAAAAAAATGCAGTGAAGCCAGGGAACCTTTCCACGCCCCCAGTATGCCTTTTTTTAACCCTCTTTTTTAAGCATCAGTCTTAACACAATATTCCAACTTCAGTTTACCAAATGTCCCAAACTTCACAAAGACCACATTTGCTTTTTTTCCACTTTTACTTTTAATGCCCTATCTCCTCCCACCTACTTGGCAGAAATTATTCCCCTCCCCCTCAGCACCTCCCAGGGATTCTGAAGGGTTTCATGGCACCACCCTGTGTATTCTGAACAAACCCCAACTCTCCTATCTCAGCCTCACCCTCCTACCCCAGTTTCACCTTCGTACCACCTTTCCACTGTTGTTACCCTTGTCAAACTGCCTGCTTGCATTCAGGGAAAAGCCAGGTGACTGCTAATACCACCCTCTCCCCTCCCAGCGGTGGCCTTGGTGAGGGACACTGCTCTCAACTTTATCCCTCTTTCTATCTCGTACACAGACATATATGCCCTTCCTCATTACCAAGCAGCAGAGTCAAAATTTAACTATGCCTTTTAATGGGGTTTATTGAAATATTGGGAGTAATGTAAAGAGTACACAGAATAGTTTACAAGCACCCCATGGACACAGACCTAGGGTCAGTTACCAGACCAGCTTCTGCCTGGCTTCTCTCTACCTGGCCAGTGAAGCTCATCCCTGCCCCCAAGACTGACTTCCTCCCAGGATGGCTAGCCTCATCAGGTAACATTTGTTGAATGTCTGTTATGTTTCAAGTACCGCAATAAGCACAAAACATGTAGTGGGGACCAAAACAGACATGGCTCAGTCCTTATGTAGTTTAAAGTCTAGAACTGGGAAACCAAACAAACAAATCATTACATAATCAATTGTAATTAGTTATAAGTTGTCCTAAGTACTGTGAAGCTAAAACTGTGGGGTGCCATGAGAAGGTCTAATGGAGGGAGCTAATTTGATTAGGGGAAATCCATTGAGGTGACTTTGAGCAACTGACATCTAAGTTGGGATTGAAGAATGAGTAATAATCAGCCCTGTGAAGAGCTAGACAGAACACATCCCCAGTCCACAGGCAACAGGGATTGCAGGGGTGAAGGGCCTGCTGGAGAATGGCATTTGGAAAGACCTGGGGGATCACGTGCAGAGCGTGGGGGCAGAGGGGTGTAAGACGAGGCTGGGCCGGGAGGCAGGGGAGCCATGCCAGGGGGACCCCAGCAAGCTGCAGCAAGGGCTTGAGATGTTATCCCAGGTGAAATTGACTGTTACTGGGGAGTTTTGAGCAAGGGAGTGAATGACATGCTTTGATCCATACTTTAAGAACATGCTGACAGCCATGTGGAAAATGAATGAAGAAGGGCAGGAGGGCAGTCACATGACAGTCAGTGAGCAGGAGATGAGGGTACTCAGGCCATGGCACGGGCAGAGCAGACAGAGAAGTAATGATTTTCATGGTATGTCTAGAGTAGAGCTAATGGGATTTGATGATAGATTATGTAGAGGAGTGGAAGGAGAGAGGAAAGTCGAGATAGAGAGTCAAGGGAGGATTCCAGTTTCTGACTTAGGCAGCTGGGCACATGGACTGATATCTAGGGACTGAGAAGAAAAGCCGACAATCGACAGCACAGTTCCCAGAGTCTAAGTTACTTGGTCTTAAATGTTCCACTGGGGAGGCATCAGCCACCCAGGCCAGGGACAGGCCCAGGCCAACCCATTTTCATTTTGTCTTTTAAAGCTTCTGGCAGCCTGGCAATCCAGCCACCCCCATGGCCACCCCGTTACATTAGTTTTAACAAAAGGTTTGATTTTGCATTAGACTTCCTCCCCAAGCAATTGCCAAGATAGACCAGTAGTAGATTTTACTCACTTATTCATTCATTCAAGAGAGAAACAGTTATCTTGGTGACTGAGAGCAGAGCCTCTGGGCTCAAATCCCACCTCTGCCACTGAGTAGCTGAGGACTCTGGGCAAGTCCGTCGGCCCCTCGGTGACCGAGTGTCCCTGTCTGTGAAATGGAGATGACAGTGTATCTACCTCAAAGAGCTACCCTAAGGCGTAAGTGAATTAATCACATGTGGTATATTTTGAGCGGACCTGGCACACTGTCAGTACTCAGATGGTGTCGGAAATTGCCATTCTCAAGTGTTAAGGAAACGTCCCGCTTTTCCAGCACTGTTCTACATGAGGAGGCTGTTTAACACTGTGAAAGCTATTTTTCAGCCAGACAGATCTGACTTCAAGCCTCTGCTGTCTTCTTAACCTCCTTGAACGCACATTTTCCCACCTGATATATGGGAGCAATCATGCCCACCTTGGGTGGTTATTGTGAAGGTGAAATGAGGAGTCTTTGAGCAGGGCCTTGTACACAGTAGAGGCTCAGTCAATGTCAGGGTCTTCCCTTCTCAAAAGGAGCTTTCCTGTCTAATTTAAAGTGTGCACCTCCACCCTCTGCCATTAAAAAGAACCCAGTGAGAGAAAGGTAATTTCAAACCCCTTCATAGGCTTACAGTTTATGAATAAGGTTAAGGTTTTTTTCAGAAATTACACTTCCTCACCCTTTCAGCACAGTATGGAGCTATTTAAAAGATGGGAATATGGATGTGGAGATTTTACATCCCAGAAAGAGTGGTCCACAAAGATTCTATTTCTTCCCCAAACTGTTCATGTTTCCCACTGTCCGTCAGACCCTTTCCCAGTGCCGTAACCCACTTCCTCTTCCTGCCCCACCGCCACCTTGAGTAACCAGAGTAAGAAAACACAGGCACCCGCCCATAGAAAATACTCTTGGTTGTCCTGGAAAGCACAGATTGCCTGGGCTTCTATTTTCAAAGCTGACTACACGGTTTCCTTTGGCACAGCTGTGGGTGGCAGCATCTGCTGTGGGCGTCTGCACCCCCGCTGTGGTCCTGTGGTGGCATTGCCCTGGGTTCCCAGCACTCGCCTCTTTCTGGCTCACATGAGCCATTTACATCTTGATGTAAAGTTGCTGTGTGTCCCCTGCAGCTGCACTTTAAAACTTCATTCCTAACATAGAATGAACACTGTCCTATTAAGGAATGAAGACTTCCGTGAGCAGATGGAGATCCCTGCAGAAGGGTCCTTTGCCCAGTCCTTAAAATCTCCTTTATCCTATGCTATCACTGACCCTGAATGGATAACATACTACAGACACTTTCCCTCTGATAGGCTTTTGGGGACTGTTCAGGCAATAAAGCAGCTTCCACAGAGATAAGAAAAAGACTCACACATACGACCATCAACAGCAAAGTATAGAATGTAACATTAAGACTAACAGGGTGTCTTCGGATTTCAGGGAACACATCCGTCAAGGCCTAGAAGAACTCCAGAAGGTCCTGCCAGGAGGAGATACTTACATGCACGAAGGATTTCAAAGGGTAATCTTAAAAAAACTTTCAACTCCAAATGTAAAGTGTGATATGGAAACACCTACATAAGGATGGTTCATGAAATAAGGCACATGTAACTGAATAACACCCAATGGCAACAGAGTGAAAACAAATTTCCCATGGCTTGTACACTAATAACTCTATCCAAAAGAACTGATAAAGGAATCTTCCTCCTCCTTCCCTGACACTGATGAAGGGTTTGTTAGCTGAAGCTTGGCTGTCACTTGTGAATCATGCCATATGCAAGTTCCCTCCATGTGTAAGGAAACTTTTCTGTGATGCTTCAGTGGTTGAGACAGAAGTTCAGTGATTTCAGTCTTAAAGAAAATATGTCCCAGTCTGTGAGAGGTAAGGCACTGATCCACGTTCACTAGTATGTTAGTTAAATGTCAGGACAACTTTAGATGAGTGTTCTCCACTGATATTTGAGTGAAGCCTGGGTGAACTACATAAAGAATCAAGACTGAGTCATGGTTACAGCAGCAACCCATGGCCCAGTGTGCTGTTTGGAATAGCAAAAGCAGTGGCTACATGGCTAATGTGTTCTTCGTGTTTTTCAGGCCAGTGAGCAGATTTATTATGAAAACAGTCAAGGTAAGGCTAGATTATGAATTATCATTATAAATTGTTTTAACATTTTTTCTGTGTCTGCTTGTGAAAAACAGCTTCAGTAATTTCATGTTTCAAAAGACATATGATACTGTCTATAATCTTTGGACACACACTTCATCACAAAGAAGGAATACATAGACAGATGACATAAACCAGGTCAAATTCCACTATCCTATTGATGCAGAAAGAAGTTATATAAAATCCCATTATGGGCCAAGGTCTGTAATGCCCATAAACAGTGCTGCATGTTGAATTCATTAAATGAATGAATACTTGGATGGATTAATAAAGCCTTGGAATTTTGTGTCAAATTTAATTTTCTTGTCCTTCTCTGAGCTCCAAGCTTTTTTAGCACTGATTGGATATGATATTAAGATGAAGGTATCAGTTTGGTTTAAACTTTCCTTCATTTCAGTGAAAAAAATACCTAAAATGTACTTAACAGAATGCTTAGCCCATTGAAATAATATTTATTGATTAATATTACTATTTTAGCTATGATGACTATTACTACAGCGTCTTTCCTGGGTAGTGTTTCTTTATCTGAGGCAAATCTCTCACAAGAGATTCAGTGTTAGAGTGGAGCTTTTTCTCCCAGGTCTGTAGAGGTGTCCACTTCCTATTTCACTCTAAACTGCAACAAATAGACCAGACCCAGTATCAACAACACTTGTGAGTATAAATCATCCATCTGCAATGTTACTAGAACTCTAAAAATCACTGAAAGAATTCTAGTAGGCTTTGCCAACTGGTATAATAACTTCAATTCTGCTTGTAAATGATGACGACTGTGACCCTTTGCCCACCTCTTCAAGAGGTAGAAATGAATAAAGATCTGTACATGTTACTGTATCTGAATTATACCTCAATGAAAAAACATAGAAAAGGATCTTTGGTTTGGCATCATCGTGATATCATTAACCATATCACCTTGTTCTTAGGTAAAAGTCCCAAAGGGGCTTTGATTTATACACATTATAAACAAGTGATTAGAGTTAGTTGGAGAATTTCATGACTCCAAAAGTAGCAGCAAAATGTCCTTAATAATCTATGTTCTGTTGTTCACTCCATGTTTTCTGTAGTCAGCAACTGGAGCCATAAGGCCATCTGGAAATGTTGTGAATGCAGCATTCGTAGTAATGAGTAGTAATGTGTGTTTTCGATATAAGTTGAGGCTCCAAAGCCAACAACTGCCGGACATTTGAGCAGAGACTGATTCCATAGGTGCTCTTTCATCAGGAAGCAGGAAGTCAACAATGCAGAGCTGCTGCTGGTTATTTTGTGGGGGTGGTGGAGGTTGTTTTTATAGACTGAAAATGTGGGAGAGATTACATAAGCCCAAGGAGGATGTTGCAGGAGGACCATCACTAGGATACTTGGGTGACAAGCTTGTGGAAGTGCTTCTTGAAATGCTTATGTGTGTTCATTTTTTAATGTTTTTACCCGCAAGTACTGTGAAAATATTACAACACAGCCAGAATCCCCAAAACTAATCTTCATGAAGGGTAGAAAAATTCCCAGGGCAACACAAAGTCCAGCAGATCCTGTGATGGATCCCCCTCCACCCCTTCCAAACCAGCGCAGTGCTGGGTGCGTGGTACAGGCTCATTAAATAGCTGTGGAAATGAAGGCATAAATGGAGGGAGCACATACTGCAATCATTCATTCAACAACAAATCACTTCCTCTATGCCCATCATTAAGTGTTGCAGGGACTGTAAAAGGAACACAAGTCATGTGGCCTGAAAACCCTTAACTTCTATGGAGGAACACTGGCAGACATGTGAAACCACCAAGGAAAACAGGAGACCCTGTACGGGCAGCCTCTCTTGTAGGATTCCCAGGCTCTCATTTCCCAGGAAGATAACGCATTTCATTTGGTAATAACCAAGTCTTTCAAGAGGTTCGTATCATCCCCTTTAAAAGATCTTTCTCCCAGTTTTCTTCCATTTCTAAAGGAACACAGAAAGAAAATAAGTCCCTATTAATAGTTCTATTGTCCCAGAATTAAAACACACCCACCATTCCCATGAAACCATTGGTCGTGTTTGCTGAGATGTTGTGGGTGCTTGGAGAAGCGGAAGGGAGTCGGGAGGTGGCACCGTGAGTCATTTGGTCTTTTGAGGAGTGAGGGTGGAAGATGCCTGGTTGTGATCTCTGCTTGGGGCTAGGGAGTTCATATCTTGCCAGACACAAAGCCTCTAGGATAAGGACCTTTTCCAAAACAGCCTGCGCTTGTACTGGTACCAAAAAAATAGATAGCTCAAGAAAATACTTGTAAAGAAATGGAAATAGATTTAAAGAAAACACCCCCATTCCCAGACTTATTTGGCAGGGAAAAAAATGCAGTGAAGCCAGGGAACCTTTCCACGCCCCCAGTATGCCTTTTTTTAACCCTCTTTTTTAAGCATCAGTCTTAACACAATATTCCAACTTCAGTTTACCAAATGTCCCAAACTTCACAAAGACCACATTTGCTTTTTTTCCACTTTTACTTTTAATGCCCTATCTCCTCCCACCTACTTGGCAGAAATTATTCCCCTCCCCCTCAGCACCTCCCAGGGATTCTGAAGGGTTTCATGGCACCACCCTGTGTATTCTGAACAAACCCCAACTCTCCTATCTCAGCCTCACCCTCCTACCCCAGTTTCACCTTCGTACCACCTTTCCACTGTTGTTACCCTTGTCAAACTGCCTGCTTGCATTCAGGGAAAAGCCAGGTGACTGCTAATACCACCCTCTCCCCTCCCAGCGGTGGCCTTGGTGAGGGACACTGCTCTCAACTTTATCCCTCTTTCTATCTCGTACACAGACATATATGCCCTTCCTCATTACCAAGCAGCAGAGTCAAAATTTAACTATGCCTTTTAATGGGGTTTATTGAAATATTGGGAGTAATGTAAAGAGTACACAGAATAGTTTACAAGCACCCCATGGACACAGACCTAGGGTCAGTTACCAGACCAGCTTCTGCCTGGCTTCTCTCTACCTGGCCAGTGAAGCTCATCCCTGCCCCCAAGACTGACTTCCTCCCAGGATGGCTAGCCTCATCAGGTAACATTTGTTGAATGTCTGTTATGTTTCAAGTACCGCAATAAGCACAAAACATGTAGTGGGGACCAAAACAGACATGGCTCAGTCCTTATGTAGTTTAAAGTCTAGAACTGGGAAACCAAACAAACAAATCATTACATAATCAATTGTAATTAGTTATAAGTTGTCCTAAGTACTGTGAAGCTAAAACTGTGGGGTGCCATGAGAAGGTCTAATGGAGGGAGCTAATTTGATTAGGGGAAATCCATTGAGGTGACTTTGAGCAACTGACATGTAAGTTGGGATTGAAGAATGAGTAATAATCAGCCCTGTGAAGAGCTAGACAGAACACATCCCCAGTCCACAGGCAACAGGGATTGCAGGGGTGAAGGGCCTGCTGGAGAATGGCATTTGGAAAGACCTGGGGGCTCACGTGCAGAGCGTGGGGGCAGAGGGGTGTAAGACGAGGCTGGGCCGGGAGGCAGGGGAGCCATGCCAGGGGGACCCCAGCAAGCTGCAGCAAGGGCTTGAGATGTTATCCCAGGTGAAATTGACTGTTACTGGGGAGTTTTGAGCAAGGGAGTGAATGACATGCTTTGATCCATACTTTAAGAACATGCTGACAGCCATGTGGAAAATGAATGAAGAAGGGCAGGAGGGCAGTCACATGACAGTCAGTGACTGCCTTCCTGGTCTGAGCAGGAGATGAGGGTACTCAGGCCATGGCACGGGCAGAGCAGACAGAGAAGTAATGATTTTCATGGTATGTCTAGAGTAGAGCTAATGGGATTTGATGATAGATTATGTAGAGGAGTGGAAGGAGAGAGGAAAGTCGAGATAGAGAGTCAAGGGAGGATTCCAGTTTCTGACTTAGGCAGCTGGGCACATGGACTGATATCTAGGGACTGAGAAGAAAAGCCGACAATCGACAGCACAGTTCCCAGAGTCTAAGTTACTTGGTCTTAAATGTTCCACTGGGGAGGCATCAGCCACCCAGGCCAGGGACAGGCCCAGGCCAACCCATTTTCATTTTGTCTTTTAAAGCTTCTGGCAGCCTGGCAATCCAGCCACCCCCATGGCCACCCCATTACATTAGTTTTAACAAAAGGTTTGATTTTGCATTAGACTTCCTCCCCAAGCAATTGCCAAGATAGACCAGTAGTAGATTTTACTCACTTATTCATTCATTCAAGAGAGAAACAGTTATCTTGGTGACTGAGAGCAGAGCCTCTGGGCTCAAATCCCACCTCTGCCACTGAGTAGCTGAGGACTCTGGGCAAGTCCGTCGGCCCCTCGGTGACCGAGTGTCCCTGTCTGTGAAATGGAGATGACAGTGTATCTACCTCAAAGAGCTACCCTAAGGCGTAAGTGAATTAATCACATGTGGTATATTTTGAGCGGACCTGGCACACTGTCAGTACTCAGATGGTGTCGGAAATTGCCATTCTCAAGTGTTAAGGAAACGTCCCGCTTTTCCAGCACTGTTCTACATGAGGAGGCTGTTTAACACTGTGAAAGCTATTTTTCAGCCAGACAGATCTGACTTCAAGCCTCTGCTGTCTTCTTAACCTCCTTGAACGCACATTTTCCCACCTGATATATGGGAGCAATCATGCCCACCTTGGGTGGTTATTGTGAAGGTGAAATGAGGAGTCTTTGAGCAGGGCCTTGTACACAGTAGAGGCTCAGTCAATGTCAGGGTCTTCCCTTCTCAAAAGGAGCTTTCCTGTCTAATTTAAAGTGTGCACCTCCACCCTCTGCCATTAAAAAGAACCCAGTGAGAGAAAGATAATTTCAAATCCCTTCATAGGCTTACAGTTTATGAATAAGGTTAAGGTTTTTTTCAGAAATTACACTTCCTCACCCTTTCAGCACAGTATGGAGCTATTTAAAAGATGGGAATATGGATGTGGAGATTTTACATCCCAGAAAGAGTGGTCCACAAAGATTCTATTTCTTCCCCAAACTGTTCATGTTTCCCACTGTCCGTCAGGCCCTTTCCCAGTGCCGTAACCCACTTCCTCTTCCTGCCCCACCGCCACCTTGAGTAACCAGAGTAAGAAAACACAGGCACCCGCCCATAGAAAATACTCTTGGTTGTCCTGGAAAGCACAGATTGCCTGGGCTTCTATTTTCAAAGCTGACTACACGGTTTCCTTTGGCACAGCTGTGGGTGGCAGCATCTGCTGTGGGCGTCTGCACCCCCGCTGTGGTCCTGTGGTGGCATTGCCCTGGGTTCCCAGCACTCGCCTCTTTCTGGCTCACATGAGCCATTTACATCTTGATGTAAAGTTGCTGTGTGTCCCCTGCAGCTGCACTTTAAAACTTCATTCCTAACATAGAATGAACACTGTCCTATTAAGGAATGAAGACTTCCGTGAGCAGATGGAGATCCCTGCAGAAGGGTCCTTTGCCCAGTCCTTAAAATCTCCTTTATCCTATGCTATCACTGACCCTGAATGGATAACATACTACAGACACTTTCCCTCTGATAGGCTTTTGGGGACTGTTCAGGCAATAAAGCAGCTTCCACAGAGATAAGAAAAAGACTCACACATACGACCATCAACAGCAAAGTATAGAATGTAACATTAAGACTAACAGGGTGTCTTCGGATTTCAGGGAACACATCCGTCAAGGCCTAGAAGAACTCCAGAAGGTCCTGCCAGGAGGAGATACTTACATGCACGAAGGATTTCAAAGGGTAATCTTAAAAAAACTTTCAACTCCAAATGTAAAGTGTGATATGGAAACACCTACATAAGGATGGTTCATGAAATAAGGCACATGTAACTGAATAACACCCAATGGCAACAGAGTGAAAACAAATTTCCCATGGCTTGTACACTAATAACTCTATCCAAAAGAACTGATAAAGGAATCTTCCTCCTCCTTCCCTGACACTGATGAAGGGTTTGTTAGCTGAAGCTTGGCTGTCACTTGTGAATCATGCCATATGCAAGTTCCCTCCATGTGTAAGGAAACTTTTCTGTGATGCTTCAGTGGTTGAGACAGAAGTTCAGTGATTTCAGTCTTAAAGAAAATATGTCCCAGTCTGTGAGAGGTAAGGCACTGATCCACGTTCACTAGTATGTTAGTTAAATGTCAGGACAACTTTAGATGAGTGTTCTCCACTGATATTTGAGTGAAGTCTGGGTGAACTACATAAAGAATCAAGACTGAGTCATGGTTACAGCAGCAACCCATGGCCCAGTGTGCTGTTTGGAATAGCAAAAGCAGTGGCTACATGGCTAATGTGTTCTTCGTGTTTTTCAGGCCAGTGAGCAGATTTATTATGAAAACAGTCAAGGTAAGGCTAGATTATGAATTATCATTATAAATTGTTTTAACATTTTTTCTGTGTCTGCTTGTGAAAAACAGCTTCAGTAATTTCATGTTTCAAAAGACATATGATACTGTCTATAATCTTTGGACACACACTTCATCACAAAGAAGGAATACATAGACAGATGACATAAACCAGGTCAAATTCCACTATCCTATTGATGCAGAAAGAAGTTATATAAAATCCCATTATGGGCCAAGGTCTGTAATGCCCATAAACAGTGCTGCATGTTGAATTCATTAAATGAATGAATACTTGGATGGATTAATAAAGCCTTGGAATTTTGTGTCAAATTTAATTTTCTTGTCCTTCTCTGAGCTCCAAGCTTTTTTAGCACTGATTGGATATGATATTAAGATGAAGGTATCAGTTTGGTTTAAACTTTCCTTCATTTCAGTGAAAAAAATACCTAAAATGTACTTAACAGAATGCTTAGCCCATTGAAATAATATTTATTGATTAATATTACTATTTTAGCTATGATGACTATTACTACAGCGTCTTTCCTGGGTAGTGTTTCTTTATCTGAGGCAAATCTCTCACAAGAGATTCAGTGTTAGAGTGGAGCTTTTTCTCCCAGGTCTGTAGAGGTGTCCACTTCCTATTTCACTCTAAACTGCAACAATAGACCAGACCCAGTATCAACAACACTTGTGAGTATAAATCATCCATCTGCAATGTTACTAGAACTCTAAAAATCACTGAAAGAATTCTAGTAGGCTTTGCCAACTGGTATAATAACTTCGATTCTGCTTGTAAATGATGACGACTGTGACCCTTTGCCCACCTCTTCAAGAGGTAGTGTATGGGGCAAACTAGCATGTAAGAAGGACCCCTGGCCAGCCCAGGTGGTAAGTTTGCTCCCAGGCCTTGGTGGACTGGACAGTTACTAGAAAATAATAGAAACTTGATTCACTGGAGCTACTCCCACATATCGGTCCAATGATCATTTCACCAGGTTTGGCCATTTTTTGAGATAAGACTGAGAAACTCAGAAACAAAACCTATTCCCCAGGAGTTTGTCCCCACAGACACACTCTTTTCTGCATGCTGGAGTTGCTTCCAGTCCCAAAAGAAAAGCTGCTGTTTCTCATAATACTGACCCCAGGTGGTTGCGCTTGTAAGAGATGGGCTCCCAGGGCTGAGAAGGGGTTTCCCTGAGTGTGGGCCGATGGACTGAGTGGGTCTGTGTTGTGTTGAGCAGGATACAGGACAGCCAGCGTCATCATCGCTTTGACAGATGGAGAACTCCATGAAGATCTCTTTTTCTATTCAGAGAGGGAGGTAAGCGACAGCCTGGTCTGTATGTGAACACAGATGTTGGATGGGGTTGCTTCCTTCTGAAATGGGCCACAGTCTTTCTACTTGGGCAAAATAATAGCTATTCTTTGTAAAAATGCTGGATAAAATAGTATCTCGTATGTAAGAAGTAATAACAATACCTCACTTTTTAAAGTGAATGCTCATGTGTCTCATGTCTAACACATAGTAGATATTTTTCCCTTTTGAAATACTTGCATATTTCTCTGTTTTGAGGGATACAAAATATCTACCATGCTTTTATTGAAAGCACTGTATTTATCTTGCAGTTTTGAAATACTGTATTACTTCTGAACAAAAACATCGGTACCATTTTTCCTCTATTTCCATTAAAAGCAGGAGGAGGAACAAAATCATTTGAAATATTTCAATATTTATTCAATATTCAGTCCAATTTTTCTATATTTCTTTTTCCTTTTCTTTATGTTTTCAAAAAGCACTCCTCAAAGCAAGTGAAAGAATTCTCTAAGTAAAGCTTTCTGTTCGTGTAGTTTCTGAAAAAAGAGGTTTATTCAAGAATTGGAAAGTAATCTTTATATTAGGAAATCCTTTCCTTTCAAGTTTTAGATTTGAGCTCAATGTATAATTGGCCCAGAGAAATCTGTTCAACCATTAATGATGGAGTCACAAGGCTCATTCAGGCCAAGTTAGGGAGAAACACAATAAGGAAAAAGCAGTGAGGGAGGGAGATCCTGGCCTCTCGGGGAGGAGTTAACCAGATCATGACACTTACCTCCAACTCTTGTTTACTATTTAATTTAAATTCCACTCCCTCAACAACAACAAGTATGTATTCATTCATTCTTTCATTCATTCATTCATTCATTCCATGTGCTGGGCACTTTGATGGATACTAGGGACACAGAGGTAACACACAGTTGTTGCCCTCATGGCCTTACCATGTAATAATGTTCAGTTTTTTGAAGCCTGTGCTGGTAAAGAGCATGAGGTAAACACACAACTTCCCCTCTCCCTCTAACTAATACAGGGATAATTCATGATAATCCGTAAGTAAATATGACAGATGCTCCCTGATCATGTGGGAAATAACGTATATCTGTATGCAGAAGTTAAAACTAACTATGTAATGGGAATGGAAAATGGCTTATTTCAGATGCTCAGCAACAGCCAAAAAAGTAAAAACCCTAATAAGGAAATAACTGAATATAAAATAAATGATGGGTGTCAGAGGCTTAAAATAGGAGTTAGTAGAGAAGAATTTTAGGTATGGCGCTTACAAACTTGGAAAAATATTTGGAATGCCAATTCCAATAGAAGGAGGCAAGATAAAGCTCAAGATACATAAAGAAAAATAAACTTTCCATTTTAGATAATTCTATATAAAGCCCAATTGGAGAAAAGTCACAGCAGTTGTTGCAGATAAGGATGGGGCTAGACTGCTCTAGAGGTTTGTTTTATCCTGAGAGCAGCCAGGAATCTTTCTAACATGAAGGAAAAAAATACATGTTCTCTCCCTTGTAAAATTCAATGTCAGTCACAAGTGGATTTGAGTACTAAGAGAGGAAAAATAATTACACAATTCAAATCAATATGCATACCCCGAACACCTACTATATATTTACTATCAATTATTTATTAAGCACCTACTGAATGCACCAAAGATTTCCAACTTTTGTTTTCTATTCACCTTTAATAAATCAAATATTAAAGTCAAACCAAAACTTGATGTTATTCATTATGTTGCCCTTTGAATACTTAATTGTAGAGAACGTCATGTTCACCTGTTCAAATATGAACCATAACTTGATAATATGGGTAAATGTAGTAATCACATTGTTTTTTCATGTGAAACCTTCATAAGAGTTTATATAATCATACCTTAATAAAAAATTAAGTAAAAAAAAAAAGAACCATAACTCCCATACCATTAAACCAGTAAATTCCAAGGGGAAGAAAAAGGCCTATTCACAAAGGTTGCTGACATTTATGAGCATCTGTGTTGTTCTTGTATGAGGAGCCTTGTATGAGGAGCTCTGCATATATTATCTCATTTAATTCCCAGAACATTTATAGAGCAATTCTCAGTGCCAAGCCCAGGCATATCAGGTTCCTGAGGCCACGTCCTTTCAGTCAGAGCACATTGCCATTACAAAGGAAGAAAAGTACGTCAATAAAAATTCATCAGAGGAATAGAAAAGATAATCATTTCCTCAGAATATTTAATAAGAATTATCTTAATCTACAGTCTTCCTTTCCTGCCCTCATCTCTCAAAGCCCTTCATCAAGATTCTACTCTGTGGATCTTTCTTAACACGTCCCCTTAGACTAACACTCCCCTCCTGGCCACCATGCATCATGTTGGAATGTAATGTTCCCTGGAGAATGAGCTCCTTGTGCTCAGATTTTGGCCCTCCTTGTGCCTGGCGCAAGTAGATGCTCCATGAACACTTGATCATTGAAGTTAGTCTGGTTAATCCAAAAAAAAGTGCATTTGTTTCTGCTTCTCTTTAATGTCTTTTTTTTCACTGACCCAGGCTAACAGATCCCGAGATCTTGGTGCAATTGTTTACTGTGTCGGTGTGAAGGACTTCAATGAAACACAGGTATGACTGTAGATGTCCTCAGGTCTGGGTTCACACGAAGCTTGTGAAGGATAACATGTATTCAGGGCAGAGGGGGCATCAACAGCATAAATACCCCTTAGATAGATTAATTTTCCAGAAATGCTAAGCTAAAAGGGAATTATTATTGGATATAAAGCCATTTGCTGATGTACTTAGGGGTCTTTAACACAGACTTGCTAGGCAACATCTTCCTAGGTTGTCTTTCTTGGTAGATTTAAATCGCCAGCGTGTCAAAACAGATCTGAATTAAGTTGGAAAACTTTGTTGGTTGTTTCTCCTTTAATTTAACTTAATGAATCATATTTTATTTGTATGGCAAGTATCCCTTTTCTCCCATTAAAAATGCAATGTGTTTAATACAAAATGGATTTTTAATACAAAAAATAGAAGTAATTGGCAAGTAGGAAGAAAATATGTGCCAGGATACAGAAGCAAATTGTGAAAATTTGCTGACTACCTAAGTAAATGTTCCTCAATGTAGTTTATAATTTCTTTTTTTTTTAAGTGGCCTGGAACAATGCTTATAATATGTTGTTAAGTGAGTAAAATAGAGTTAAAGAACAGTGGGAATAGGTGTATTTGAAACCAGTATAAGACTGTATATCAATGATACTTTAATAAAAAGATGAAACAAAACAGTGGGAATAGGATGAGTGCACTTTCTAAATAAACATATATATTTGCTTAGGAAAAGAATGAAAGGCTATTTATTGTCAAATTAACAAAATAGGGAAATGATGGATGGAAGATAGAAGATAGATAGATAGATAGATGATAAATAGATAGATCGATGGATGAAAGATAATGAGTAGCCTTTTTTCTTTTTAACACTCCTGGGTTTTCTGAACTTTCCCAAGGACTATGTGTTGCTTTGCAATGAGTAAAATCCTGGCACTGACCATGACTGTGGTGACCACGGAACTATGCAAAGAGCTGGAGTAGAAAAGCTCATAGATCAGCTTCTCTCTGCCATCCTCTGCTCCATAAAGCAGGACAGCCAAAACAATGGCAAAGGGGCCTTTCCTCAATGAGTAGTTTGGGGGAAAGGTCAGGATCCTCATTCACTGGCTTCACCCAACACCAAAGCTTGAACTCATTTCTAAAGTTGTTATGAAAGGAAACTTGAGTCTGTATGATTGGAATACAGTTGCCAACAGAAATATGTGTGAAAGGGAGAAAAATAAGCCCATGGCCTGCCCACAAATCCATAAATACATCAACACAGGCCAAGGGCTCGTCTCACTGGGCAATCTTACCTTTGCTCCCAAGGAGAAAAGTATTAAAGCAAATGAAAAAAGCTGGAGCCAACCGTCGGGGCCCACTCTGGAGAGGCCACTGGATCAGCAGATGGCTTTATATCCAATAATTCCCTGATAGCTTAGTATTTCTGAGAGGTCTTCAGTGGGGCCCCTGAGACCAGCCAAGTCTCTCTGGGTCCTAAAAGTAGATGGAGCCCTCTGGACTAACTTCTCCGTGTCCAAGCCTGACACATCTCTGTGTGTTTGTGTGTTTGCTGTGTCCTCAGCTGGCGCGGATTGCAGACAGTAAGGATCATGTGTTTCCTGTAAATGATGGCTTCCAGGCTCTGCAGGGCATCATCCACTCAGTGAGTACGGCGCCTCCTCTGAGACTGCAGCACATTCTGCGCCCCGGTGCTATAACACCCCAGTTCTGTCTCTCTAAGGCTGGTTTTTGTCTCCTTGAGACAACATTCCTTTGCATATCTTTGTATCTCTCATGTGCCTCTTCTCCCTATTGCCTTTCACACATGTCTTTCTTCATTCCCCTGTGCCAATTTTACCCCACAATGGAATATTGAAAATTAAAAGGTACCCTGCTCTGGCAGTGAGCCAAGTGTCAGGTGACCCCCCCCCCAGTTGTCCTACTGGAAAGACTGTGGTTGATGGTGTGTGTTTGAGAAACCTCAGCTTTCCTAACCATGATGGAAGCAAGCTGCCTTCAGAGCATGTTCTGGCTCAATCTCTATCACTTGGCTTTCAGAGATACTTCCAACCAGTAGCTTTCTACTTTGGATGCCCATCAAAGTCATCTGGAGCAGGATTTTTAAGATCTTCCCAGGTGATTTTAATGGAACCACCCTGCTTTAGACCTTAATCCTTAAATATGAGGGCTTTATTGCTCTCCAGGATTTGCCATCACCAGCCCTCCTATCCACCCCAACCTGAGTTTAGATGGGACAATCTGTCACACCAAATGGTTTTTTATTTCTTCTTTCTTGTAAGTGAACAGGACACTGGTTTCCAGGGCCACTCTTTCCCACCTCCCACACACAGGCCAGGCCCTGGTCTATCTGGAACAGGAGACAGTGTTGGCCTTTTGGTCCTCAGCCAGAGACCACTGTGAGGGCTGCCCCTGTGATGGAGTCCAGAGGTGCTGTGGCCCCACCTGTAGGTTCTGAGAGCAGGCAGATGGCCAGCAGTTTCTCCAGTGCAAGCTCACCGGGCTCCAGACTCAGGGTCCAGGATGCAAATTCAGACTTCAGTGGTTACTGTCCTCTTAAGAATTCAAGGGGGTCTTGATCCAGGGGTTACCAGCCAGGAATAGAATCTGCCCAGCGTCCCAGTTTGACCTAGGAAATGTCCAACATGGCTGCACCTTCATGCTCCGTCTCCCTCCCTCCAAGATTTGCGTAAGAACTCCAGGACAGTGAAAGCAGGGTGAGAAAGAAGAACTTTGGAGCTGGCCATCCCAGAGTTTAGATACTGGCCCAGTGACTTACCATTTATAGATCCTTGGGTGGGTTATTTCACTTATTTCCATATCTGGAAAAAGAGATTGATGATAAGACTTACATTATAGCCTTGTTTGAGGATTACAAGAGATCATACTGGTGAAATACCTAATATTTTCCCAGGCACATAATTGGCACTCAAGGCATATGAATTATTTCCTCCCTAACTTCCTTTCCCCATCATCCATTGGACATTAATGACCCCGCTGAGCCTTTAAATATCCTTGAATATGCATAAAAATCACTTGGGAATCTTGTTTTTAATACAGATCCCCAAGTCCTGTACCTAAAAGATAGTATTGTAATTAGTAGGGGATAGAGGCCAGGAATTTGTCTTGGTGTTATCTTCCTTGGGTCCCTTGTACTGGGAGATCTGTGCACTTCCATAGCTTGAAGGACTATTTCCTTCCCCAGATTGGGGAAGTTTTCAGCAATTATTTTTTCAAAGACATTTTCTATCCCTTTTTCTCTCTCTTCTTCTTCTGGTACCAGTTCTCTTAATATTCTTTCATTCCTAGAGACCCTAAATTTTCTCTGCCTTGGCTTCTTTGTATTCCTGTTCTCTGATTTATATTCCATTTACGGTCTCCTCTACCTCATCTAGTCTGCTTTTAAATCTCTCCATTGTATGTTTTGTTTCAGTTACTTTATTTTTTAAGGGGTCTATCTCCCTCCTGAATTCATCACCTTAGCTCTTGAATATTTTTCTGTGGCTCCATTAGCATGCTTTTGACTTTTTATTTGAATTCTTTTTCAGGAAGATTTGTGATTTCAGTCTCAATTTTTAAAAAATATTGGACATTAATGACCCCATTTTTAAATCTCCATTTTTAAAAAATAAGTCCCACAGATGCACTTTCAGAACATTGATATATGTAACCTTAAGTTTTCAGAATTGTGAAAATTTATCCTGCCTCAGGTTGGGAAATCCTATCTCAAGTTATGTTCAGATGACAGTCATCTTATTCAATATAATTTTGCAAGTTTGTTTTTAAGGAAAAGAAACCCATTCAAACTGCCTTGACCAGAAAGTAGGAATTATTGAAAGTATAGAGAAGTATCAGTTCCCATTATGGATTCCCAGGTGAGGGACCCCTGCTCTAAATAATTTCTGGGGTCAGTGTGGCAATAATATATAAAAACTACAACAATGACATCACAATGCCGGCGCCCTTTACCTCACTTCACCTCACAGCATAGGTGTTTTATCATTGCACATCATAAGAAGAAAGGGAGAGGAAAAAGATGGCAGTGTTAAGAAGTGAGGCAGAAATCTCCTCCCAAAACCACATATAATACAAAAATACAGCAAATACAACTAATCGTAAAAGAGTGACCAGAAATAAGTTGCACCAGCCAGTCTACCTCTGTGAAAAGAGAACATCTCAAGGAAAAGGGATTATGAAAAGGCAGAAGAACCTTGTTCAATCCAAAAATCCTCAAACTCCAGGAAGAGGGCTCAGTGAGACTGAAATCACAAATCTTCCTGAAAAAGAATTCAAATAAAAAGTCAAAAGCATGCTAATGGAGCCACGGAAAAATATTCAAGAGCTAAGGTGACAAATTCAGGGGGGAGATAGACCCCTTAAAAATTAAAGTAACTGAAACAAAACATACAATGGAGAGATTTAAAAGCAAATTAGATGAGGTAGAGGAGACCGTAAATGGAATAGAAATCTGAGAACAGGAATACAAAGAAGCCAAGGCATAGAAAATTTAGGATCTCTAGGAATGAAAGAATATTAAGAGAACTGTGTGACCATTCCAAATGGAGCAATATCCGCATTATAGGGGTACCAGAAGAAGAAGAGAGAGAAAACGGGATAGAAAGTGTCTTTGAAAAAATAATTGTTGAAAAATTCCCCAATCTGGGGAAGGAAATAGCCCTTCAAGCCATGGAAGTGCACAGATCTCCCAGTACAAGGGACCCAAGGAAGACAACACCAAGACATATAATAATTAAAATGGCAAAGATTAAGGACAAGGGCAGAGTATTGAAAGCAGCCAAAGAGAGAAAAAAAGTCACCTACAAAGGAAAACCCATCAAGCTATCATCAGACTTCTCAGCAGAAACCTTACAGGCCAGAAGGGAGTGGCATGATATATTCAATGCAATGAAACAGAAGGGCCTTAAACCAAAAATACTCTACCTAGCAAGATTATCATTTAAATTTGAAGGAGGGATTAAACAATTTCCAGATAAGCAAAAGTTGAGGGAATTTACCTCCCATAAACCATCTCTACAGGTATTTTAAACGGACTGTTCTAGATGGAAGTGCCCCTAAGGCTAAATAGCTGTCACCAGAGAAAATAAAATCACAGCAAGGAAAGTAGACCAATTATTTACTAAGCAGATACAAAATTTAATCAGCTACCCACAAAGTCAGTCAAAGGATACACAAAGAGTACAGAATATGACACCATACATATAAAGAGTGGAGGAGAAAGAAAAAGAAGGGAGAGAAAAAAGAATCTTCAGATTGTGTTTACAATAGGATAAGAAGCAAGTTAAGTTAGACTGTTAGATAGTAAAGAAGCTGCACTTGAACCTTTGGTAGGCACAAATCCAAAGCCTGCAATGGCAATAAGTACATGCCTATCAATAATCACCCTAAATGCAAATGGACTGAATGTACCAATCAAAAGACACAGAGTTACAGAATGGATAAAAAACAAGACCCATCTATATGCTGCCTACAAGAGACTCACTTTTCAAATGAAGAGTCTAAATTCACAATTAATGAAACTGGAAAAAGAAGAACAAATGAGGCCCAAAATCAGTAGACGGAGGGACATAATAAAGATCAGAGAAGAAATAAGTAAAATTGAGAAGAATAAAACAATAGAAAGAATTAATAAAGCCAAGAGCTGGTTCTTTGTGAAAATAAACAAAACAGATAAAACTCTAGTCAGACTTATCAAGAAAAAAAGAGAGTCTACACACATAAACAGAATCAGAAATGAGAAAGGAAAAATCACTACAGACACCTCAGAAATACAAAGAATTGTAAGAGAATACTATGAAAAATTATATGCTAACAAATTGGATAACCTAGAAAAAATGGACAATTTTCTAGAAAAACACAACCTTCCAAGACTGACCAAGGAAGAACCATAAAATTGAACAGACCAATTACCAGCAATGAAATTGAATCAGTTATCAAAAAATTACCAAGAACAAAATACCTGGACCAGATGGCTTCACTGCTGAATTTTATCAGACACTTAGAGAAGACCTAATACCCATCCTCCTTAAAGTCTTCCAAAAAGTAGAAGAGTAGGGAATACTTCCAAACTCATCTATGAGGCCAGCATAACTCTAATACCAAAACCAGGCAAAGACACCAAAAAAAGAAGAAAAGTACAGACCAATATCCCTGATGAACACAGATGCAAAAATACTCAACAAAATATTAGCAAACCCAATTCAAAAATACATCAAAAAGATCATACATCATGATCAAGTGGGATTCATTCCAGGAATTCAAGGATGGTACAACATTCAAAAATCCATCAACATTATCTACTACATCAATAAAAAGAAGCACAAAAAATCACATGATATTCCCATAGATATTGAAAAAGCATTTGAAAAAATGCAACACCCATTCATGATAAAAACTTTCAACAAAATGGGTATAGAGGGCAAGTATTTCAACATAATAAAGGCCATATATGACAAACCCACAGTCAGCATCATACTTAGCAGTGAGAAGCTGAAAGCTTTTCCTCTGTGATTGGGAACAAGACAAGGATGCCCACTCTCCCCACTTCTATTCAACATACTAAGTGAGGTCCTTGCCATGGCAATCAGACAACACAAAAAAATAAAAGGCATCCAGATAGGTAAGGAA